GCGGAGAGGATACAAAGAATTGGCCTAGGATAACAGAAGCGCCGCACCAATGCTACCGAGCCAGACACTGTTCGCACGTTTTAATATTCCTCCATTAGATTCTAGTAGGGACACCTTCCCCCGTTAGGCTTACTGTTATTCTTGGGTTTAGGTTTGCTGGGGCTGGGCCGACGGGTTCCCATACAACTGTGGCAAGGTGTCGCATAAGTGCCTGACGTTAACTGACAGCTTAAGGGACATCTAGGAATATTTGTGGGGATATACGAACAAATATACAGTTTATAGGCCTAAAGGGGATTCAGGGCTTGGGGATGGAAAATGGAAACCACCACCTTGTTCGGGCTCAGAGCTGACTCGTGCTTGGGGGAGGGCGGGGCGGGAATAAAGCAGTGAGCTTCGGCTTGCCTGGGAAAGTTGTCCTGACCAACAAAGTTGAGTGCAACAGAAAGCTTTACCACACGAAGAGTTGCGAACGTAGAGCACTGTGACATCCAGACCAAAAATGGATAGGACATGCAATGTGAACAGCCAACAAAGCTTCTTATGGTAAAAAGTATACAAGATCATGTTACAGAGTGGTAAACAGGGAACAAGAGTCAACCGGTCATCCCCGGGATGGAACGTCAAGTGGACCCTCTTGGAGCAAATTCTACAGTTCCCTTTCATGCCAAGCCTACCAAATCTGGAACGAGGACTCCTGATATCACTGCTGGCAGGTAAGTAATGGAGGAACGGATCCCTATACAAGTGCCTATAGAACCCGGTATACCAATCCCTGCATCCTACCTCTTCATTGCCTGTAACTCAAAGTGCACACGTACAGGCTATGCAGACGGCTTATGAATGCTAGGTAGGCATAGTACAAAACACGAGTCCTATCTCTCATACCGAGTACTTAGAAGGCAAGAGGCAAGAGGATATGACTTGGTTGCGATTTGGGTTTTTCCTACCTACCATCAGCCAAGGTTGGCCAGGATGGTCAGGCATCGCCGCTTGAGAATCTGCAACTCAATTGCAGTGGCTTTTACAAAATTAAGGCCCCCTGCCTACCTCCAATTGAAGGAACACCCCCAAAAAGACTAGGGTTATGAATCTCACTTAATACAATGATTGCATGTCTTGACATGCCGAAGTGATGTCCTATGCATACCACTCAACCAGAACCCGCAGCTCGCAGTGCGGAGTCAATCCCAAACCGTACTGCCACATGGCTGAGGTTTTAGCGTATAGGGTTAGGGTTTCGGAGTATGCGCAGCAAAAATGCAATCTGCGCGGTGCCTCAGGCTGGAAGCTGTCAATGGCCCTTTTTATGTTGCCTCAGATGAAGCACAGGGCTTTTTTCATCGAATCTCTACAAGTGGTGTCCTATGGTGCAGGCCCAGCGTTTCGGATGCTCACAAGTATCGCTGAATTATTACAACGTTGCTTCTGTTTGGTGTCCATGCTGAAGAAATGTCTGAGCACCTCCCCACAGTTTAGCGACCCAAATAACACTTGCTCTCGGTACCACACATTCTGTTTTGCAATGAAATCACGACCAACAGTGGGCTTGACAGGGTTGACGAAAGAAAGTCTACTCGAAAACAAGTATCATCACTGTTCAGGTAAGAAGTGTATGTTGCGCATGTAAATCTGTCGTTTTCACGTCACTTTTGCGGCTTTGCTTCCCCATTACTTTCAGGACATTTCCGCGCTGTCGAGGATTGCTGCTTTTGAGATCTACAGAGCAGCAACAATCTTGTGAAGCCAGGGAGCACCACGAATTGCTCCATCACCCTCAGTTCCAGGACGCTAGCAAACTATCAGCACTTCGATGATGAAAAACATCCGGCATAATCCAAAGTGTCCAAGATTCTTGGAATTCTGGTAGTTTGGAATCAGACAGCGGCCGACCGCAATCAGCGAAATGCCGCAAGAGTCGCATGCCAGGCTCAAGGCGCCAGCAAAGAACTTTAGACTTCTTGGGTTGAATTTTGAGCTCCGTACATAAGCCCCATATCGCTCAACCCCTTCTGTCCCCCCTTGATGCGGCCCATCACGGATAGTCAAGGTTAAACCTGTGGTTTGGGGTTTGGGGTCACCGGTTCGACAAGGTCGTGCAGCCAGCTGGATCACAGTCGCAGTCGGGAGTTGGATTCTGGCAATTCTGCGATTTAAAGATGTCAATAGGGAGCCTGTCACAATCTCATACCCCATAGAACTAACGCATGGCAAAGGCGGGCAAAGCTGAATCATGCATCTTCTTCCTCCGAAGATGGGAATTCGACGGACCCCCAGTGATGAGCTATGCAAGTAGTAGAAAGACCTTGCCCAAAAATCCCACGTCCGGTCACTGATCACTTTGAATACTACAACATTTCCAAAGCCATCCCAAGACAACAACCGAGCGTAAGCTTTGAACCCAAGGTCCAGGGCTCAGGGTCTACAGTTTGGAGGTTTGGGGCTTCTCGAGAGGTTGGAGTTCAAGCTTAGGGTTTGGGATTCTCGGACTTCACATCCGCCAAGCTTGCACAACCCCTGGGGATTCACAGTGCTCTGTGGCTCCTCAGCATTCCGAGTACTCTAGGGCTGAGCTACCAACTGAAACAGGGAGATTGCTGAAGTACTTTGAGGGACGAACATTTCTTGATCTTGGGTTCACATATACAGCTGCCAACGAAAGTTATCCCATAACGGGGATAACGGTCTCATCTACGCCTGAAACTTGTCACTCAAGCCCGAGTCGAAATTCTGCCATCGACCTAAAATACCTCAGGCTAGCTATCCGTCCTGCTAACAGTCTAATACTGGGAGTATAGTGAGACACACCTGATGGTTACCATTCTACAGCGCAGTTTCTTCGGCATGAAAGCCAGAAATCTTGAACCCTGAAGCGTAAAACTAAAATACAGCTCGGTAGCTCATGTTGAGTGCCTCAGTATAAAGATGCGCAGGGAGGACTTCTGCTTTCGGGATATGCGGGTCAGCAGGATATATGTAGAATCCCTACACGGACTCTGAAAGGTGCTGCTTTTGATAAACTGGCACATGGTAGCGTGTCAAGCTTTGTTTTTGGGGGTAACCGGAATCGGAAGCCGAGGTTCGAGAAGCTGCACCTTTACCATCAGCAGAGTACAAGAAGCTGAGATATGAAGAGCACTTCGAAAGCCCCCAAATGTTCCAGAAGCAAGTGTCATGTAGAGCTCCAAAAACACTGCCGTCATCTACAATCTCTCAAGTCCCATCCATGGCAACAACAATGTTGAAGCCTGAATATCTGTGAATATGCTCCCCGTATACCTGGTATATACCATATCCCAAAATCCGATTCGCATGTTTTAGGCTCCTACATTATCGCGCTCAGCGGTGCGCAATTGTTCAGGGGCCTAAAGTGTTGGGACATGGAGACGTGCTTGGAGGGTCAGGGGAACTTATCACGTCGTGTTGGGAAACGGGTGATCAATAGCCATACAATAACCCCAACTATCCGAATTAAGCTACCTGCTAAGTCTCCTGACCCTCCAGGTAGGGCCTCTGGATTGTTGCATGGCACGGATTTTGCAACATCTATCACAACCATGCTGCCCAAACCCACAAACCTCAAATCCTAGTCCATAGCTGGCAAATGCTAGCCAACCTAAACTCATAAATCAAACCGTAAAACCTAGAACCCTGAAACCGAAAACTGAACAAACTGAAACCATCCCAAAAAAAAAATCGCCGGCAGTTGTGCGAGGCTTCATGGTCTAGGCCAAGTGGCCAGCTCCCTCGCTGTCCAGCAACTTCCTTGTCTGCGGAGTCTGCTGAAAGTCAAATTTTGAGAGATGCTTTGTCTGCTGGATTTTGGAGAGGTGCAGAAACTGAGACCCGAAATCACCAAACCCCTAAAACCGCTGAAACCTACAATCCTTCAAGGGCAAACTCTGGACAATTGACAAAACGCACTGGACGTAAACAGAGGCCAGGCGCTTGATCCACTTGGCGCCCTCTGCGGCGGTGAGATCCTTCTGTGTGCCGTCCTGCGATGTTGAGAGCTTTAGCGGCCGTGATGTGATTTGAGCTCCCAACAGGACAGAGAGGAAGTCTTGAACATCTCTGGAAGAGCCAGCTACACGCGAAAGCACAAACATCTCGTCGACTGCAGTCTGAAGTTTGATCCATGGCAGGATGCAGATGACATGGTCTGCTCTGATCTTGCACAGGTGAAGACAGGACGCTGCCTTTTGAAATTGTACCTTGTCGCCTCCTCACCAAAATTCACAGCAGGCGCGGCATGGAGTTCACCAACTCAAGCTCCGGGCACCGTGCCACTAGTAATAAAGGGCATATGCATATAAAACTGCTTCCCGATTTAAAGGCCACTGACGCGTCTGCGTCTTACCTCTATACCCGCTCCTTGAAAGGGCCCTTCTCGACATCAGCCCACCTTGTCTGCACTGCTGCTTTCGTCTGTTCAAGACGAGCGCTGGAACCCTCCCGAATTCATGTCTGGCCCTTTCTTGGTGGTTTTGAATAAGCGAGAAGTAAAACCGTGTTGACGACATCCCTGGTCGCTGAATACTAGGGGTCGTGTTCTACTGGGAACGCGAAAACAAACAGCATTTCCATCACCTACCATATGTTGACTTTCCCGCCTTCGGGGTTGTAGCAATGAAGTTCGGATGCCAAGCTCAGCATGATTGTCTACTGCAACCATCTCGTGTTTAGTAGGGAATGAGTGCAGGGATCACTGTGTAATCCTAGATGACGTCCCATAATACATTCCATCATCCCCTAAGACACGCCAGGGAGTCTCATGAGGCTAACAAATCAGCAGCCTCACCCCAAAAAGGGAATCGCCGTGAACTCGTCCAAAGAGGACGGAAGGCATGTGGGTGGCAGAGAAACCCTGAGAACTAAACCAAGGCCACGGGAAGAGAGACCTTTGACACATAGCTGTTCGCCATGAACCACATAAATCATGCAACTCCTCCGAAACCCATAAACCCTCCAAACCCTATGAATGCCATAAACCCTAAACTCTATGAGGCCCACACCCACAACCTCCAGTTATGAACCCCATCAAGCCTACAAAGCCCTCCAAGCCCTAAACCCCTCCCAGACCAAACCCAGCCCAGCCACATGTCTGCCCGGCTGTTGGTTCCCCCGAAACCGAAGGAGGAGACTCCGCAGCACATATCCTCGGAGAAAGCTTTTTGATTGGGTATTGGGCCCTTTGGGTACCCCCAACCCAAGAGGGCCATGAACTTAAAACCCTCCTGCGTCAGTCCGGGTGCCATCAACCATTTGACCCAGTTCCAGCACCCCCCGGATCCGGAGCACATGCCAGGGGGCCTATTCCCACATGCCTTGGGCTCTTCTCAGCCTCAAAGCCTCTCCAAATCCTAACAGATTCCTGCATGCCCAGGCACCCGTTTGGAGCTGCACGTGAGTTCCTCGCAAGAGGTGCTCTTACGAGAATCCAACAGACACACGCTGCATACTGGGACGTTTACAGTATGTCCCGAGAGAGGACACCCAAAATCCCAAACATCCCGATACAGCCGGGGGTCCCCTTGCGTCTGAGAGGAACCTCGTCCAGCTGAATAACGAAGCCACCCTGGAACCAAACATAGCCCCAAAGTCAGACCGCTACCACTCTGCATGGCAAATCAGGCTTGGAGTCCCTCCAATACACCCCGAAATCTAGACTTACCCCTTGATCAAAATCCCACCACTGCACATCCCAAGCATCCAACTTTGCTTCAAAAATGTTGGTGGGGGTGGCATTACTGTGGGCTTCCATCTGAGCCCAGAAGCGTGTAAACCTATAAACCCTATACATCCCTACACATCCTATACAACATCCAAAAAGACCTTCTCTTCACAGCAGTGCGAGGCACATTCGTGAACATCACAGGATATGCTGCCACGTCCAGGTGTGGATTCAAGGTGGTCAGGTGCGGGTTCGGCGTGGACACCTTAGTTTGGCTGACAGAGTGTTGGGGTTGAAGGGCTAGCTATCTAGAGGGTTGGGGGCTTCGGTTTGGAAACATAGGGTTTGGGGTGCAGGGCTTTGGGGTTTAGATACTTGGGTTTAGGGGGTGTGTGGGTCCAGAGTTCAGGGCTTACGGGCTCAGCATTTGAGGTTTAAGGAGGTCGCATCCTCACGGGATTTTCTCACAATGACCCCTCTACAATCCCGAAGAAGGACGCCCACAGCCACCATATCCCTGAGCCCCTTTTTTGTAGCAAGCCCCACATGTTTGCGCCGCTCCATACTGTACAGCATGCCCTTGAACTCCTCCACCCTGCAGTGGCTCTGGGACAGTCTTGACTCCAATCGATCAATCAACCTTTCCTGCATCAACTTTACGTTTGGAAATAGACAACGTAGAAGCCTGAATAGACAGTAATTTGATCCCTAACCCTTATATACTGGCAGGAGAATATACCTCGCAACCCTTTTCAAATTACTCGTTCACCTGGGGCTCAGATGCCAAATGCGAGAAGTTTGCAAAAGGCTTAGTCACAGCTCCCTTCCCAGGGCCCTGGGAGGATCTGGAAACCAGGAACCCCTCAGACCTTTCAGCAGAATCTACTTTCCAGATTCCTTGAGGGGTTCGGGGGCCTCTCCCCTCCTTCATCCAAGCGTCTCCGCCATTCAGCAGCATCACAACCTGTCGACGGCTGCTCAGGCATGACTCGTGCAACGGCACTTAGGATCCTCAGTCACCAGCTTAGAGACTGCAATGCTGAACTCAGATACGGCTTGCGCGCAACATTTTCTATGGATTGTGGCTTCTCCAAAACCACGAGACCTCAGCAAACCCACCCCAAACCCAAGCTAATCTGGTGGAGCATGTGGAGCTATGGGTCCCCCTCACTCCCAGATCACCCAGAGAGTAGCGCTCCTTGATGAAGCCGCAGGTGCCAGCATTGGCTTCCTGCTGGTTGGGACTGGGCTTCGAAAACGTGGCGAACGTGAAGTAAGCCCTACTTTTGGCACTGCCTTGCAGATACTACCACTGCCGTTAGCACCTTTCTTCACGGGTGTCCATAGCTTCCGGAATTCCTAAACTTCTGCATTTTGGCTGCTATGGAAGGCTGGGTGCGGAAAACTTCCGCCCAACGCGCGTGGCATATCTACCTAAAAAACACATTTGAAACCAAGCGAAGCTCCTCAGGCTGCCTCACGAATAATGTAGACCTTAATTGCCTTAATGTCCCTTCCTTTATTTGGAGGGCCGGAGCCGGGTGCCTCATGGCCTACGTTGGATTTCGCTGATGCGTGCAGGAGCGGGTTGTCGCTGCGCTTGCCCATCCTCAGGATGCTTCGGATGAAAATTTAATGGGTTTAGGTTTAAGGTTTGGGGTTCCAGGTTTGAGGGTTACGGGCTTTTGGGGTTTAAGCTTTGGCAGGATGCTTCTAGTGCAGATGTGCCGCAAGAAGCCACCTTTTCTAATCGATTCTAACCCATAGAAATCCTGTTACAGGCCAAAAAGGGACCCTATGTGTAATTCCTGGATGCCCCAAACTTTTCAGGCTTGGGCTTGCGGTTGCAGGCTGAGGCTGTTGGTGGGGGACACAAAAACAGGATATATGGATCCCCATAGTCTACCCTATGCAAGCTGCCACAAATTCTTCTTTTCCTTTCCATGCCTCCATTCCCTACTGACCAGGGGATCACGGTATCAAGGCGAACGCACCAGGATTGTCCTTGACACTACAAGAAGACTCCAATGGTACCTCTAATCTTGGGAAACCTCCATTTGGGGTTCTAAGGCCACAGGGCTGGCAAACAGCACATCCTTCAGTGTTGCACTTGCTGGGTACAGGGTTCAGGGACCTACTTTACACAAATGTGCCAGCAGGCTGATCCACAAACAAGTTAAGACTGCTAAACTCAGTGCGACCAGCGCCAACCAGCGCCTGCCAAACCCAAAGACTATTAGCTTTCCACTTCACGCGCAGCTCGTAGACTTTGAAACCTGATCACCCCTTACACCATTGCAGCCATCATGCTGCACAGACTTCATCGCACCAATTTCGATGGGGTCGCCCAGGGCAGTGCCGGTGCCGTGGCACTCACCAATTTGGACCTTCACCGATGGAGCCCTATACCCATTCACCAGAGACCATACCTTGAATCATATCAGAGTTCCTTGAACTATGTAAGAGATATAGCGTAGATGAGGATAACTTGCCGGTTGAAGGGCAGAATTGGCCTTGAGCCGTGTAAAGCGTACAGGGCCACGCGTCGAAGACTTGTTAGAGTTGTGTTTGAACACCGGATGCAGTGCCATCATTGCTTTAGTATTTTTAGTGAGAACATGGCCCAGCAATGCCAGCTACTCTTACCGTCTAGACCGGCAAGTTGGTCTTTCACAAGGCTGGACTTGAATTTGTGCTTACCTGGATGGTATTTTAAAAGCCCAAAATTATTCAGGATTAGGTTCCCTTATACAACAGTAGGCGAGTTATTCATTATCCCAAGATGCCACCTACTCATGCTTCACGGGCAGAAAGCACCAGATGACGTGATCCAAAGCAAAATTGCGGCAATCGCAAAACATGCCTCAACCTTCAAGCCCCAAAAGCCAGTCGATTTGCGCAAACCAAGATGGAAACGATTGAAGATGCATCGATCCTGGACACGATCCACGTCGAGCTGCCTAGCAGGATTAGCCTAAACCCCCAAACCCTGCAGCCTGCAGTAAACGGAAGATGCTACAGCCTAAATCCGCAACCCCAAACTCAACAGCCCTGCTCCACACGAGCCTCGCCGGGTGACAGCCGTGCCTCTGCTAGTGAGGCTCGGATGCACATCCTGAAGTCCAGAACCACGCTTCAGGCTTCTAAGGTTTCAGGGTCAGGTTCAGGATTCAAGTTTTGGTGCCAGGGGGTTGAGGCTTACAGTTTAACATGTAAGGCTCAGTGCCAAGCCTGCCGAGGACATCTGTGACAAGGCAGCGAAGACCGTGAAGCCCATGTTGAGTGCATAGGTTGGATATGTCCTATTTGTCCTACCTGTGGCGTGCTGCTGCCTGCACGGTAACCCACAAGATCAACGGCCTCTGAGATGTCCAGCGCGAACTCTCAATGAGTTTTAAAGGGCTTCCAACCAATGCTCGTCAAGTCTTGTTCAAACTCCATTTGTGTGCGCTTGAGACAAGTCATACCACAGCTGATACAACACATCTGCCTACCGCATATCGTGGGAATCACGGCATTCTAGTGTACTAGAATCATGCAGAATGACAGCATCAACGAGCGCACCACGTCATGATGATATACGTCATGATGATATAGCAAGTAATTGTAATTCTCAATGTCCTCTCTACCCTTAACCCTAAACCGTGGTCCAGACTGCAGCCAAGATGCTGCTGCGATGGGCCGTGGGGTGCAGTAAGTGAAGCTGAGCGACCATCCTTCCATCCAGGACGGTTTGGCCAGATGACTGTTCTGTGCCGCTTGCTGGCTCTAGAAAATGGAAATTAACCGACAAATGATGTGTCCTGATTAGCAGGAGAGGACAAGGGTCCCTCTCTGGAAACATGGGGAGAACGGAGCGGCTAGTTTGATAAGCTTTGACATTCATGTTGCATGTGGCAGACACAACACAGGAATGCAGAGTGCCAACGTGTATATCCTTCATGCAGCGGTTCCCCGGTTCAAGCAGTTCCCTCCCCCAGCAATACCCCTCCATAATCATTCATATTCCCAATCGAAAGGCTTTTTTCTTAATATAATCGGCGGAATAGGCGTGGGGTTGGTTCAATTCTTACAGGGAGGGAAGGAAGGAAATGCAAAAGTCAGGCCTGATTGGCGCAGCTGCCCAGCAATATCCTCAAGGATCCAACATTTAAGGTCTAGGGCTTTGGGCTTAGGTCTCAGGTAATGGAGGTTTTGGTGTCATGCTGGAAGAGCATGCAAGAGGTTTAGACTTAATTACTGCTGACTAATAATAAACGAATCTGTAACGTTATCCCTATACACAACCCCTGATTATCGTCCCTCTGTCTCATTCCTGCATTCCCTACTGTCCACAGGTAGAAGGCAGGTAGAAAGGGGCAAGGACCACCGCTTCTGAGGCACGCCAGACTCCGCTCTCCCGCTGCGCGCTCTCCGTCGTTTTCAGCAGCAATGTGCACTCCGCAGCAGCCCTGGATAGCTCAAAGCTGCAAAGGCATCAGGGCCAGGATTTGAATTGTGTTTTCTGGTGGTTGATCCAGGGAAGAACACATTCCTCCGGTGAAAGCCGAAAACCTGAAGATGAAAAAACCTTAAACTGTGTTGGGGACTACCTTTTCTCCCCTTGTTCTTACTGGTGCTCAAGGACCAGGGCTCAGTCGAAACACATGAAATCTCAGATTTGAGGCCTGGCATGGGCAGTCAGGGAGCCTGGAAATCTGGGATTTCCAAAATCAGGGTACATTTTTTGTTGAGGGTGGGGGGGTTCATCTTGGGGTCTATGTTGTCGTCCCTCTGTTCTGTTGTGGGAAACTACCATCTCTAACTGCCCAAGGTAGCATTGACAGATATCCTCTGGCGGGAAAGCTGCGCACAAAGTCAGGCAATAGCAGACCTTACTTGAAGAGATGCAGGTAGATTCTAAACCTTCTCAACGCCTCCCCGCGGATGAAGCCATCAGCACCGACGTCAAACGTAAAGGCACCTGGCAAAGAGTGCAGAGTTCTTCGGCTGGAGTATAGGACTCCCCAAACCTGAAAGATGGGTCTTGGTAGACTTCTTCTGTCCCGCTACGAGAGTGCTTTACGGGTTCCATGTCAATTTCGGAGCCCTTCAGGCTGCCAGACCTGGCGCGGAGATGAAGGCTTTGGCAATGCATGCTCCAGCAGCCCTCAACCCTGAACCTGAATTGGAGCCATATGCTTTTACAGTTAACCCCCACCCCTCAGGCCTGAGCCCCAAAGATTTTTCTGAGACCCGGGCGTCCCTTGTAGGAAAGCATTGTTGCCGCGCACTCACCGATCCAGCCAGCTGGATGCAGCATCACCTGTTTAGAGCTAAAGGGCTCAGGGTCACATGCATATGATGGGCTGCTTTAACAACTCCAATATTTTCTTCTGCACTTCGGCCCAGCAGCCAGTTCTGGCTCTGCCTACGTTGAGTAACTGCACAACTGGTTCCTGATTGGAATTGTATTAGCCCACTAAGGACTTTGCACAGTGTTCATGCTTCAACCATCCTGAGCAAGGAACCAGGACGCCCATGCAAACGGCATACTTGAGCTGGGCTTGATCCTTCATGTTGTCCTGGCAAAGCACTCCAAGCATGCGCGAGGTCTGCTGTCAAACCGGTTTGCGATGCCACCTCTGCAACATCCGACTCCACCAGATAGCTTTTAGATACTTGTGCCTTTTTCCTGCTGTGCCAGTACTGCCTTTCCTTGGCATGGAATCAAGCTGGTCCCAGCTGAGAAGATCACATTGTGTTCTGCTTGCAGAACGTACTGCAACTGCAACCAAAGAGAATACTTGAGCTCCAGCAAGCCCATATTACACTTGGGCAGGCACATTTAAAAAAAAAAACTAATAGCTAGACTAGAAAAGGAAGTAGGATATTACCTGCTCATCATTTGGGTCTTCCATACTATGTAACCCTAGTTTCCATTTCACGTTCCATTGCCTCTTCCACTCTACTCCATTAACTACAAATGCCCTTTTTGCATCCTCGGAGAGTGGCGCAATCTTTTCCCCGATGCGCGTGTGCCGCCTTCATTGGGGGACTGCCGCGCTCTTGGGCTTAGAGCTTGGTTTTAGAGCCCTGTTGCAAGCACCCAAACTCATAACCGTAACCTTTTGCCCATTACTTCAGGTTGAAGAACATCAATACCAATACTATGGGATTCTAGGTAAATCTAGAGACCCCACAAGAATAGAGGATCCCTCGGACCCCGATATTACAGCCTTTCTTGAGGATTCTATCCTATAGGAGTTGTTTTGAGAAATTCAATATGGAGATGAGAGGACGGAGGCTAGACTACCTGGCACTACATCATTTCAAGGGTTTATGTGTAGGGTTTAAGGCCATTAGCACGGAATGAAGGAATGGGTTCTAGGATTCTAGGAACGACTGTAGGGGAGGATTTCCGGACTGCTATCGGCATCCCTCCTTCCGTAACACGTACCAGGCAGATGATCTCGACCGTCGTGTTGGAAGGCGTAAGGGCTCGCAAATTCTGGATTTAGGCTTCAAGGCGTTGGGGTGTTTATAATATTGATCCACCGCAGGATTTAGGAGCTTAACGTCTTTGAGCCCTCGATTCGTGTGGGGTTTAGGGCTTCAGTGGAAGCAGCACATGCATTGACAAAGAAACCCCCACCTAACACTCACCTACACCACTATGTATGGGCGTTTCCACAATTGGGAGTCCCTGTTTGAGGAGTCCCCATCTAATCGCCAGACTATTTAGGGGAGTGCGGTGCCGGGCCGACAGCCAATCGCTTAAGCTCAAAGCTTTGGCAGAGGCTTCTGGAACAATGGCGGGCCTTACCATCATGTGGGCAGCAGCATTGGTCGCCACCAAGGAAGCTGAGCAGGCTGTGTCTACCTGGCAGAAGCGTGCTCAGATTAAAGGCGACTAAAGTAAGTCTATCTAGCATAATACCCACCGAAAGTGGGCACAAGACTCCGGATGATACGTCAAGATAGCGCAGCCAGTGATGAAGTGCTGCTTCGCGGCTGTGACGTTCGGCCCCGTGAGTCCTTAGCTGTTGGGGACTGGCAGTGTCGACACAGAGAGGGAGACGTGTCTGAAAGGGGGTTGAGGTTGAGGGAGTCCTGCAGAAGATACATCAAATTAAGGGGTATGGGACTCCTGCGCTCACTTAGACACAGCTTCACCCTTCCTTCCAAGATTCGACTCTTGCCTTTCTGTAATTTGTATATACATTCTGCACGAGAGCAGGTACACAAATCAGACTTCCTGTCATCATACTTCGCTTTGCACACTGCCCTGAAGTTTGCAAAGGTTCAATCTTATAATTGTTGACACCCGCCGTCCTGCTCCTTGCGCTTTCAGATGTACCTCTCTTAAACTGCGCTGTAGTCCAGAATTATTTGTATGTGAAACGTAATATAGACCTGCTTGCAAACCATGCATCCAAGGCAATGCGAGAGCCGAGAGCATGTCACGAAGCCCGAGTTGTTGGTGAGCCTCAGCGACTCAGTCACGCAGCGCAAGAAGAGGCAAAGGGAGCCGCTAAGTCCCAGACCCTGAACCCTACAATTCTCTTGGTTGGGCCTTGGGGTGCTTGTAAACGCTCTTTCAAGTAAGCATTTCTGGTAAGGTCTTGAGGGTCCATGTTCCTTGAATCTTGGAGCCACACGTCATGAGTATGAGTCACTGGGAGGTCCAGGTACATACATCTGACATGAGGTCTGCCTGCCACGTCCCTGCAGCAATCTATGCCACTCCTGTAATCCTAAGAACCTGACCCTCCCCCAAACAAAACATGGAGGCCCATACAGCCCCCTTTGAAGAGGACAGTAGTCTCCCCCAATCAAAAATGCAGAACCTCGTTGACCCCTTTTTCAAAGGGTAGGCATCTTTGCAGAACCCCTTTTCATGTCTGTTTGGGGGAGGGTAGCCTCAAGATTGAGGGTGCATCGCTCAACATGTGATGCCCATTTTCGGTGACCTTCAGCAAGCTGGCCTGCAAGGCCTGGGACTTTGGAGTTTGGGGTTTACGGCCTCGACTCAATAAAGTCTTATAGAAGCCTGAGTAAGTAACCATATTCTTGTCGTATCATCCTTTCTAGCTGCAATCCAATAGACCACAAAGCCTTTTCGAATAAGGCAGGCTCCTACGCTAGCGCTTGGCATTCTGATTATCCATGGGGACGGCTGAGTCCGCAGCAAGTAGCGGTCCTGCCTCAGTTCCAGGACGGCTTCAGGGGGGTTAGGGTTTGAGGTCTAGGGCTTTAGGGGCTACGACTCCGAGCTCAGATGCGGGTTTCTCAAAACAGGGGGCCCCAGGATCTGTTGCGGACAAAAGGAAACGATGACTGAGGGCTTGGGGGGATGCCCCTGGAGAAATCTGAGAGGTCATCTGAATCTTGAGAAACCAGAGATTTATCCTTGTTCCAAAAACCGAAACCTAACTTCTGGACACTAACACTGCATGGAGGTTCATGGATAATTTTCAGCAGTGCTATACTGGAATGATTTTGATGATTTGGGTTATTCTCCAAACCAGCATACCTTTAATCCCACTTAAAACTACCCATGAACCTCTAAGTGAGCCCCTCGCCTCTGGTAGATCAAGTTCCACTCGCTGCCCGAATCGCCCATGTACGTGCCCACCCGCTTGCCTGGCATCAGAAAAGACACGCTGAAATCCAAACCTAACACCCCCTTGATCAGAGACGCGAAGTTGCTCTCTAGATTGGAAGACTTGCATTTTGAAATTTGGCCTAGCTGGTCGTAAAAAGGATGCGCTGCAAATGAAATGCTACGTGTTAAATCTGTTAGCTTGACCGCTTCTCGTGATCTGCAAGCCCAAATGTCTACCCGCACTGCATTGCTCCTTACATATGCGATCTCTGACTAGGACGCAGAGTGTCTTGCCAATCTTCTTTGAATGCCCGGCAAGTGTGATCTGCTGCAACCTGTCTTGTTTTGTCTGGCGTGTTTACTTTTCGCACTGTTGCTACCACAGGCTGCGAGCCCTAGATCGCTGTGCAGCCCCCATAGACCTCAAACCGTATTGGGGTCCATAACATGATTTGGTCATATTCCTTAAGCAATGGGTATGGGGCCCTCGTTGGTCCAGTATGGCCTCGCAGGGCAGACTTGGTCCAGCCTGCCTTCCACAGCACCTGCATAGGGCTCAGAAAACTTTTCGAAGAATTTGGGCTCCCTAGGGAGGGTCCCGAAACCTAAATGCGTCATTAGCCCGGTTGTCTGAGGTCTTCCTACACCGGTCCTCTGAAGTTCCAGGAAGGGCTTAGGGTTTAGGATTTACTCCATGGAGATGGGAAAGCCCCTAAACCCTGACCTCGTCCTGCAACCATGACGCCTGCAATGAAGCTGACTTTGAACTCTGAACCATCAGCCTGGAGGCCACAGACCATGTCGCTAATGTGAAACACCACAGCTTGGATTCCTCAGCTAGCCAGCTAGACGCCCACAGGCTCTCGTATGATCGCCTTGAACAAGTCCCTGACTTCCTCGAAGTTCTGCCTACCATACTCGCATGAGCAGTTAGTTGGGGATTATCTACGGCGAATCTACGGCCTACTGCAAGGGATTCACTCGGCCATTCTTCCTGCATCTTCTTGCAGCGGCAGATGTTAACCTCACATCTGGTGGAAGGCCTCGTAGCCAACCTCAAGGACCCATCGCTGGCTGGGCGAGATGGCCTCAGTTTTTCTTGACGATTCGGATTGTGAGAGTTCTCCGATTCTTGTTTCTCCGCAGTGTGGACGGATTTCAGAAGGCTGCTACTCTCGGTAGTTGGAGAAAGCGTCGGCCTGAGTTTAGCTTTGGTGCCTGCAAATGACCTACCGGCCACAAAACTTATGTACAGACACGGCCTTTGCCGCAGGAAGATGACTCCTTCAGAACCTGACAACAAGATAGAAACTTTTCCAAAATGTTGCCTCTCAAAGCCATGAACCCTCAACCCTAACCCTGAACTCTAATCTCACTCTGTCACCTGCGCCTCCTCGAGATCGATGCCAAAAAAGTCGTTGTCAAATCCTGTTGAAGGGCTGCTTCATTGCGCCTTTTTGTGCACCTCATTCTAAGGATCATCCAAAAATTATGGGATTGATTGGTTGTGGTAAGCCAAATTTCTCAACAATTTCCTGCAAAAGCTGGTCAAAGAAAGTAGGAGCAAAAAAATGCATGTCATGAAGCCAGTCATTGTTAAGGGCCCCTTTAAAAAGTAGCAGGCTCACGCCTCATTACGGTCCGTCACACTGCAAGCGATCTTGATCATGAGACAGCCCTGGGCTGAAGAAGAACAGATGCTTCACACCTGGATGTGCCCCAGCATACTCCTTACATAAACCCCGACAGAGACCAACAAATTCCGTCTATCAGACCAACCTCTGCGACCCTTAGCATACTACTTTATTGTCTGGCAACACCTCCCTCGACAAAAAGTACCCCTAAACGCCAACTGGACCCTAAACCCCGCACTCTCAGCCCTGAATCCTAAGCACGAAGCCCCGAGCCCAAAAGAAAAACTCCGGGGCCTATCAGCTGGTCTTCGGTGACGAAGGAACCTGGCCCCAGCCGATTCCGCATGATTCCGCAAGGAAATCAGAGCCTCAAAACCCTGCATTCTCTATATTGACAATGTCCAACAGTACCACAGCAGCAACACCAGCAGCAGCAGCAGCAACAGCAGCACCAGCACCAGCACCGGCACCGCACCGGCACCAACAAAGAGACTCATCGTAGCAAACTTCAGCAGAACAAGCACCTGTCGCAGCAAGAAGCAGAAAAGAGCGAGCAGCGGAAGAATCAGCAGAAGGATTGAAAGAAGATGATGACGAACATGATTAGAAGCAAAGCAACGGCAACCAGAAAGCAGAGGTCTTCGCGATAGCTGCTTGTGCGTACACACCCAAGCCCCGAACAACCCACAGCTGGCCATGTGGATCCTAAAGACGCAGGATCTTTGTCCTTCTCAACAGACCTAGTTTTAAGCCACAAGCTCTTCACACCTGGGACTCCAGCCATGCATGATGTAGGCCAAGCCCCGCATCGGTGCATCCCGCTCTGGCGCGTAGTAAAGATCCTGGATGCACTCAGGGAGCCCGGCACCCACAAATCGAGGATCATGCCTTTGAGTTTCGGAGTTAGGCTAAGGTCTTGAGATTTAGCATGGCCTGAAGAAAATAGGCCTAGCTTCCAACCTTGGGGTTTCGTTCTTGTACTCCAACATACTAGGTTACAGTACTAGAACTGGTATCCCATGACATCCGATATTGCACTCTTGAACCTGCCATTGTTCTTACTACTTGTACTGCTACTGCTACTGCTACTGCTACTAGTACTCCTACTACCCCCACTACTTCTACTATTGCTAAAATTACGTCTTCTTCTTCTTCTACTGCTTCTTCTGAGAACATAATTCTTTGGCGTGCTGGTTGCACCCTGGCCCGGCCTTGTCGAAGCGCGTCATTGGCGGCTCGAGCAGCGTGTCCGTTCCAGCAGTGAAGAGCCTCGGTTGCAAATCTCGACACATGGCCTTGCTGATGATTACGGGTGAATAGCAACAAGAATGGAGTATCGGGATTCTCGTTAGGATTATACAGGGACAGCCAGGAAGGCGCTACAGAGGTTCTTATCAAGGCTGATGCAAGGCGTGCTTCGAGACATGCATAAATGGCGTGCTCTATATGATTTGGAATGTTTCCTGCCAGGGGCACGTAGTTTCATAAACGCTCCCGGGATTGGTAAACTCCTGTGCCAGCAGCACTACATAGTTATCCCTTCCCTGCTGAATCCGTCTTCAGAAGTAAAGCTGCACTTAACTTGTCGTTGTTTTCCTTGTCAGCAAGATCCTTTAGTGGAGTCTGTGTACAAACCTTGAAGCCCATCTCTCCCAAGCCCTGCAATCCTTGCTGCTCCGCGGACCTCTGTTAAGACAGTGCCGGGCGGCGCGAAGCTCATGTCGCAATTCTCCGCACCCGCCGGGAAACGCTCTGTCATGGACCTCACGTCCACTGTGGCTTAGAGTTCAGGTTTACAACAAGGAATGTGGAGAGTGTGTGAAGCCTCGTACTTAGTCATACTTCTAGCCAGGCTTCGGTGCAGTCAAGGATTTGTTCTAATGTCGGAAATCAGCTTGCAATTCGGGCAGGTATGTTGCTTCTAAAGGGGCACGGGTTTTTGAAGCAGGTGAAGATATCCGTCACTGAAACTTGTGCTTTTCTACTTCTCAGTTCACAGTCTGGCTATAAGGAATACTGCCTTGAGAAGTGGAAGGTCCAGAGGGATCAAATGACGATGAGCAATACCCACAAAACTAGGATTTGGGGCTGAAGCTTCATAACGCGAACGCCCAAAGTGCTGCCGTGGGGCTTCACGTGAACTCGGTCGCAGCCCTGCTCTCCTTGGAAACGTGCTCAGGCATGGGGCTTGTTCAACATCCACATTGCTTTTTAGTAGGCCCATCCTCCCTTTAGCAGAGAATCCGAACCTAAAAGAAGGGAACCGAGAACCCTACTTCTGCCTACACCGCAGCAGCAAGACAAAGGCACCTGGGCATTTTGGAAGCTGCCGAAACTGCAGAGGCTCAGCCTGGCCAAAAGGCAATGAAAAAGGCTTTTGTTGCAGGTATAATGTTCATGTATGGCAGAGTGTGCTTAATTCTTATTGGAAGCCTTCCAACTCGACCTGAAGTTCCACTTGCATTGCCGAAACCTGTAATGGGAAGGATGGCAGGATGGCACGGACACATCTTGGCTGAAGGTCCCAGCCTTGTCCATCAGCCACGTTTGCATGACGAGGCAGTCATCATGGTCCGGGAGATACCTACAAAGCGGTGGATTTCAAGTCGGTGCTAAGTCCTGTCGGCTCAGCATGCAACCTGCTAAGGCCTGAATGCCATGAAACAAAATCACTTCCTTAGAACAAAGACAATACCGGCTTCTAAATATCTGTGAGAACCAAAGAAAGGGATTAAAAGTTGGCATTTTCTAGAGTTCATACAGTACAGAATAAAGTCTATTGGAGTCTGTATTGGGGCCCCTATTCATGGAATCGCCCCCTCGTGACCCATGACCCCCTACCCACCCGACCTACGTGCCTAATGCAAGCAAGACATGGAACCACATCTTCAGCATGTAAAAACCCTACAAGGACGAATATCTTTGTCAAATCCGTTTTTCCCCAGATCCAAAGCACTTAGCTTGGCGAAAGGTAGCCCCAAAGCACCTGTAGTCCATCTGGTCATGCCGGAAAAACACCATGGTCCCAGCTCTGAGAAGCAGCCGCATGGGCACGCCCACCTTTGGGAAAAAGCTTCTGGGTTTGGGGTTTGGGTCTCAGGAGTTCTCATCGTGGCTGTGCTGAGGTTTGTTTCAGGAACCTGCCCAACCCTAAACCTTTTGATTTCTCACCCGGAACCCACCGTATAACGAGAGCTAAAACCCGTTTGGAAAGCTATTGGGGGACGAAGGTTTCAGTTCAAGCCTGGGGATGACTTATGTTGACTACCATTTTTTATCGTGATTATAGTTGCTTTTATTGTTGGCGTTTTTGTTGGGGTACAGAAAAGCAGTTGAATAACTTTCACCCTTGCACATAGCTCTCTTTCTCCCATGAGCCATGAGGTCTCTCCTAGTCACAGGGCTTCAAATCCTCAGTGAGAACCCTTTTCAACATCAGCGCGATGTTCCGGTAGCCCTCATCATTCGGATGGATGGCATCTTCGTGCGCCAGACAGACACTGGATTCCCGGGAAGCCGTAGACTGCGCGCTGCGCACTGTCCTTCGTGGAGGCTTGGCAGTTTCCCAATCGCAACAGTTCACCTTGGATACTGCTGGGGTACTGCAAAACATGTATCTGTCAAGCAGATTGGGCTCAGGTACACAGAAACATGTAAGATGTTGCTCAACAACAAACCCGTCACATGAACGTCGCCACAAGTATCGTGCTTCAGGAAGCACTGGTGGAGATCGATGGTCTGGATCTGCCAGAGCTCCGCGAGATGGCGCAACTTTGAAGGAAGCTGCCTGGGCTTGATTTTTTGTTCATTGGGCTTGCACAGCCTAGTTACCCAAAATAATGGCCGTCAACACCTAAAGAATGGGGGCCATCCGGACAGGCGAGCTACCCATGAACTGAGGGGCGTTGAAATCTAATTAGTTGCAAAACACACTGGAAACTGCTGTATTACATCATGTCGGGGTGGTAATAAGGAAAGAAAATGGGAACTATCATATCCGCCGAATTCCGCCGAGGCCGGAGGCCTGGTGAAGAGACTAGGAGAGTGAGGTGACCCTCCGGCTCATACTTTTCGATTTTGGGGTCGGCTGCTTGAAGAATTTGAGGCAGCCGAAAGCGGGCGGGGGGGGGAGGGGCCTCGGGGACGGGGCGGGGGTTGCCGGGGTGGGGGAGTGGTTGGGGAGGGCGAGAGCTGCGGCAGGTTACCAAACTTGCTTGATCGCCGTTTTCAACATCTGGTGGGAGGATAGAAAAGGGGGTAAGCCAGGCATTTTGCTCTCTCGCCTTAATCACACTTGCCGAGGTGGTCTCGCGTTCGCGTTTAAAATATCTCGCTTGGAAGGGATACAAGAAGAGACTGAAACACGAGATAAGATCCGCTAGGGCGATTATTAATGAAAAACAGGCTGGCAAGCTCTAAGTTACATGTTTTGGGGTGTCTATTCCTTGAGAACAAAGTGAAAACTACCATAATGATGTCAATACATTCTCATACCCCCTTCATACCCCTTCAAGGTAGGGAAGGCGGGGCGGGAATCATGTGGGCATCGCTTGAGAGAGCTTCGGAAGTCGACTCATAAATCTCAGGACTCGTCCAAGGATTCTTCCAAGCTATCAGCAGTCTCAGGACCCGAAACCCCAAACCCTCGAGGGTCCAATGCCCCTGAATAAAAGAATATATCCTAAATGATACTAGGAACCCTCATATGATTTAAGGCATTCTCCAGAAGTAAAGCTGAGGGGGTCTTGGGCACCCTGTCAGTCAGGGTTATCATAAGCCCACCAATGGAGTGTACTATAGTTATAAAAGGATTATGAGGGGCTGATGTTGGTAGTTATGTGGTCTTCTACGCATATCTCTGGTGTCTCATGTGTTTGACATTTCTCCGTTTTGGGTCCCTGAGCCTTGTATATGTTCAGCCCTAAATCCTCAACCTGACACCCTGAACCCAAAAAACTCGGTGCAGTTCTCAATTTAAGCCTCTGACAAGGGAGGGGTGGATTTCACGATTGTTTTTGCCCTGTCGCAACTCTAACACAGAATGCCGCTACTGAGAGAGCGGAGTTTACAATTATTGCTGCCCTTTACATTTCTCGCGCACGGCATGACACCTCCGGCAGTGGCCAGATTTTCCCGAAGGCTCATCCATGCAGTGAGAGGTTTAGATAAAGCAGGACAATGGGTTAAAGGGGTCCTGGAAATCGTGGCCAGACCGTTGGAGCAGCGACCACACATGAAAACAAAGATGCCAGTAAGATGACAAGGAGACGCAAGTGACGCAGAAAAAGGCAAGCTGAATTTGGACCCCGCATCCTCTCTCTCTCACACACACAATCTTTTTCCAACCCATTCCGTGCTGCTCGTTGAAGATCGTCTGCTGCATTCCCCCTGCCCTCCCGGGGGGATCGAACTCCGGCCCGTAGATGTTGTTGTCGTACATCGGCGGCCTTGAACAATGTTGAGGTACTATTTAAGATGATCATTCTGGATTGGAAGTGCGGTCAGGTACCCAAAAATTCAACAATGTTGGTCAACTGCATCCTGGTGGCGGGATGAGTAGGTAGACTTCTGGGCGCGGGCTGAGGTTCAAGAAGGAGCCGATAAGCTTTCCGTAGGCTTCCTTCTTGGGTTTTGTAAAACATGGCGAACTCCAAGCCTCAACTCTAAAACCCCCAAACCCAAGACCCTGAAACCCACCTGAAACCGCCAAACCCCAACAATGGAAGGATGATGGGTATGTCAGGCATTTTAAGTGTAAAACTTTCCTCGAACTCTGTCTGGAACTTGGATAGCCGGCTCTCCTTGACATCGTTGGCTCCAAACCTTTGTTGATCTTCCTGCAAGCCTTACCCTTAGGGTTCCCTTTCAGGGGTCCAGGCGTCTGTGGGTTTAGATTTGGGAAGGATTCTTTCAAGGCCTGGTTGCTGAATCTATCTTGAATTCCTCAAAGTGTACTACAAGTGTTCAGTCCTAAAGTTGTAGAATAGTTTCACCGAGAAACATCAATAGGACCTGGTCCGGATTGAAGGCCAGCGCGTCTTGCCAGGTGCTGTTGTACCAAGCACTTTGGTAGCTCTTACTGCCCGAAACCACTGTTGTCTCGCCCTTCCCAAAGTTCTTCACCTCAGGAACAAGCATCTTCAAGCTGGCCTCAATCCTCCAGACCTCCCAAAGCATGCTCACGCACAGACAGTTTCCCTGCCACAACACTTCTCAAATTTCACCCGTCCCTCTCTGAACCCATACCGTTTGAGAGTGCCCTTCACCTCATGGTTCTGCAACAACTGCTGCAGGTGGTAAGGGTAGCCGGACACAGCTGGATCGTTGCCACGTTCCGAGTCGAAAGGATAGCCTGCCGTGAGGCTGTCCCCCACACAGGCGATCTTCCGCGGAAGAGCAGTTCGCTGCCGGACCGCCAAGCAGAGTGGCCAAGTCCAAAGCAAGAAACGCATGGAGGGCATGGAGGGTGTAGATTTGGCTAAGAACTGCAGTACTTCTCGGGCCCAAAAGGTGATTACAGGCTTGACGTGTGTTGAAGATACCTGCGAACCTTTCGGCCTTGCAGATTTTCTGCGCACGTGGTGCCAGTGTTGAGCTCCATCTATATATAGTCAACGTCAACTAGTCGCGCAGAATTGCGGAGACCCTTGCTTAGATGCACGATGTTCTGACCATCCCTATCTAAAAGCGGAGATAAAGATCTAAATGGACCTTAGCATTGACACCCAAGACCCAGATGCAGATGCCAGAAACCTGCCACAAGGCTCTTCAACGCACATATTGGAATGCTCTGCCCATGGTTTTCGGGCCTCTGTGCTGGTTCAAACGGCCTTCCCACAACATACACCGAAGTGCCCTATTCCTGTACGTGGCAGGAGCTGGACTCAAGAATCGCTTGGAGCCTCCATACTCCTTTTGCAATGCACGTTTCCCTGCGGTCCCTGCGAAATCCCATTTTGAAGCCCCAGACCTTCAAAACCCAAAACCTGAACCCTAAACCCCAAATCCCAAGCCTTGAGCACTACAGCATCTTTGGGAGAACATGTGGTTCCAGCCTCAGGGCCCTTTGGCCGAAGCTCGAGGATGCCCTGGCCTTCCACCTACGAAAAAGGGCAGGCTCAAGGGTTTAGGGTTTAGGGTTGAAATAGAAGTGAGTTTAGGCTAAAAGGTTTGGAGCTTAAAGCTTCAGAGGTTTGGAGATTAGGATTCAGAAGTGAGATAGTGGAGGACCAAATGAGAAGAAACATTAAAATGAAATTGGATCTTTGAAACATGTGGCTTGAACGAAGGGTCTTAGATACTGCTGTTAGATAAACACTATGAGGCAGAACATTGGCGATTACTCGGGCTTCCCTGTCGGTATGGATGGGCTTAGGGGTAAGGGCTTTGGGTTGCTCAGTTGCGATAAAACGGATATAAAGCCGGTCACACGACTTCCTTACACCTTACAATGTTGACTGAATGGAGTTCCTGGACAGCAACCCAGGTCTGCGCGTAGCCGAACATCTGGCAACGGCAGCAGAAGCTGCACACAGTGGCCAGCATGAGCCGCAAAACTCTGGTTTTTAGGGTGTCGAGTCTAGGATTTCGAGTTTAAGACAAATGCTCAGAAAAGCACGCTCCTGTACACCAAGTCAAAGACCAGCAGACTCAAGTGTGAGGCATGCAATTGGTCTCAAATGCGAAATCCAAGACCTCCAGGCTCAAACACAATACTCAGGGCGCACGGACCCAACAAAAGACAACTTTGGCCTGAAGGCGTTGATGCCTCTGAACCCGAAACCCTGAGCCGAGCTGGAGGCCTTGTAGAAGGCGCAGAGCCGTCGTGAGAGCACCTGAGAAGCTAAGCACCCGTCCAAAGCTCGTGTAGAGAATGTCAAGATGGAAATAATGAAATTTGCAATTGAGCATTGTAATAAAGACACAGCAACCAGAGCAATAGCAATGATAATGGGAAGAACTGCGGGTCTTGCTCCTCTGCTGGAAGGGCCACGAAGACAAATGAAACACCATGTGCCAGGTGCGCTAGCTACCGATGAAGTCGCAAAGTCATGTTGCTATCCAGATGGAGTCAAACGACATGATTCACCATGCAAAGCTTGACCTCGCCTTCTTCAGCTTACATGCAAGCGATGAGTACTTTAGATAGGTGTTTGTGTGAAGTATATTCTAGTCAGATGAGGGTTGTCAATGGAATGTTTTGTCTCATTTGGACGTTTGCAATACGTTTTCTGAATCCGAAACTTGGCTCGGAGAAAAACAGTTCAAAGGAATAAAGAATTCAGGACGAAAGCTTGTAGCCTCATCGTCAACATTCCAGTTGCAGGGCTATTACACAGCTGAGACACAAATCAATTGAAAATGTCAGCTCCCTCAACACAAATAGGGCTTGCGGTCGCATGTCTCCTCAACTGGGATATCCCCGCCATCATGCCAGGCTGCCCAGGACATGAACTCTTCCGACATCCGCCGGTCCCTTTCGTCCATGGGCCCTGGGTGGCCAACCAAGGACACCTGGCAGTAGGCCATTGTGTGAGGAAATCTGGAACAGAATAAGCCCCAACTCCTTAAGAAAGGGGCAACAGAAATGGGCCCAGTCACAGTTCCAAGTTTCAGGTACAAGCTTCGACTCCTACATGATTTAAGGCTCAAAGCTAATAACTTTCGGTGACTCCTCTTGCAGAAATCACGAGCAGAAACATGCGATCCTTTCTGGAAACATCAACCCACCTCAATATGTTTCAGTCCCTGTTGCGGCCACCCCGCTTTTTCAAAGCCCACAACCCCCAAAAAACCCTACATATCTATGTATGTCCCTAAGGAACCCTAGAACCCCACTAAAGGGACCCCTAAACCTTTGGAAACCTCCAAATTGCCACTGAGACACACCCTCGGCAGTGTGAGGGATCCTGTCACTGCGTACTTAGATTGTTAGGATTAATATTGGGGATGTATAGGGGTTATATTGGGGATATATTGGTATAATGGAAAAGAAAATGGAAAACTACTATTTAGGGTTCAGGGTTTAGGGTTAAGATTTTTTAGCCTAAATTGGGGGTCCAATTGAGAATACTGAGAACCTTATTCATGGCTACCCATGAACTTCCCAGAGGGAATCTCGAGATTTGTAGGAGCGATATTGGGCGTGTCTTGTAGTAGTTTCCATTTTCTTTTCCATGATCCCAACCCCATATGTCCCCTATATAACCCCTTTAACAGGGACCTATATAACCTGCTAGAACCCCTTGGGAGTTGGGGGGTATATAGAGGATCTATAGGGATAATGGAGCCCTAAATAGTTGTTGCCATCTTATTTTCCATCATCCCAATATAACCCGAGCAGTTCTTGAGTGTTCAGTTTGAGGGGAAGGGGCTGCTGGGAATGGCTCTGGTGAGATAGACATCAACTACGCTGAGAGTTGGGTTCTGGCCTCCAAGCCCAAAGGGCTTTATAGGGAATATATAGGGTAATATTGGGGTTATATGGGGGCTATAGGGGGATAATGAAAAATCAAATGGAAACTACTATAATGGGGTGTATACATATATATATATACTGTATATATGTACATATTTAGGGGTAATATTGGTGGAAAAGAAAACGGAAACTACTAAACTACTATTTAGAGTTTAGGGTTTAGGTAGTTGTAGAGTTTAGGGTTCGGGCGTTTGAGGGCGGGGGCTACAGTACCTGCGTAGAAGCACTTCCAGATTCTCACATGACCTCCCACGTACCCAGAATAATGACCTGTCTGTCGTGGTTGCCAGGTCTGCGTGTCTACACCTCTACACCCTGAATTGCAAACCAAAAACGCTAAAGCCTACACCCTAAATCCCGACGTCCCTGAATCCGTAAACCCTGGAGCCCTAGTGCCCTGAATGCCTCATACCACAATTTCCTAACACACCCCTTGCCCTTGGCCACTCCTCAGGATGGTCCCGCTCTTGCTGTGCCTCGGCTTTCCAGTTATGGGCTCTCAGATATCCACACCATTATCTGGTGTTTAGGAAGAAGGCGTTAGGGCTTTCACGAAAAGCTTGAAGTCTAGGATGTAGGTTGTTGGAATTAGAATTTAAGGCTTCGTGTCTAAGGCTTAGACCATAAAACTTGTTCAGGCCAGGCTCCTTCTGTCCAGTAGGGCTGCGGGCCGAGGATTGTGAGTCTAGGCGGGTAAATTAGGAAACACGAGCCTTATCAATGAGAGAAACGACAGGGGAATATAAGCTATAACCTGAATAGCTGGCTGGAACTTGACAGTTTCCTACCTAGTTGTGGATTCAGGCTGTCCAGAGCAACGGTTTCGATGCTTCGTGTTGTCGCCGTCAGCCTTGCAAAAGCTTCCCCTGTGAGCCCAATACCGCTCTTTGTTGCAGCAAATACCTCAAATCATAGTGGGGTTCCTAGCATCATGCAGGACACGTTCCTGAAGCAAGGGTATGGCATGGTATGGATGGTTAGTAAGGAATGGAGGACTGAATCCCGACAGGCATCCCAGCAGAACTTCCTGAAAATGACCTGAAAGTTGAACCGCTGCAGCCCATCTCTTGTAGGATGCCTCGCTGAGCCCTGAAGCACCCTGAACTTTGACTTGCCTTCCTGTTCCTGACCACATTTGAGTAGTGATTTTTGTGGTTGAGCCAAGTCGGGCTAAATGCGTCTTATGGAATATTATGCCCCAAAAAAGGTATGTAATATTACTCTGTATTGGAGACGATAATGCCCCCAATTAAAAAATACCCTACACATCAGCCAAGGCTACGCGCTTTTCGCACCGAAGGCCTGCAAGGGCTTGCACGTTGCTTGCTGGTTGCTTGTAGGGGCTGATTGTTCGTAGGGAATGAAAGAACTGGAAAAAAGAATAGAAACCTCTACCCGAAAGCTGAAGGGTTTGGAGTTCAGGGAAGGAACGAATAGAAAAGTGAATGGAAACTACTACATCATTATTGAACGCTAAATAGGGACTACCACAGGGATCCTCCCATCACAACTTATAAATTGTGGAAAGATTCAAGCTTCAGGTGAGTAGCATCGTTTGATGGAACCGACTTATAAAGGGCTACAATAGGGTTCTCCTGGGCATACTCATGGGACATAGTAAAGTCCGACTGTCTTATTCCCATGCAAATGCCACAACCCAAGCCAAAGGAGAAAGCAGTCTCACCTCCCAAATTCAAAGACCGGGGCGGCTACGTCTAGGGTTCTTTAACTTGACATGGCACTTAGACGAGGGATCTCAGGATTTTCAGATCAAACAGATTTGGAGGGCTTCTTCTTACAGATTTTGCATGGGTGGTTTCGCTCCGTGGTGCGACACCGTCGGATTTTTATCTTGCAAAGTTGCAGGCCAAATGGATTACGGTCGCAGGAGCAGCAACCAAAAAGCAGCAGACAGGAACTACTGAATACAGCGAGAATCTGAGAACTGATGGGAAGCAGGGGTGCACCAAAATGTGCTCTATG